AGAAAAAAAGTAAATGAATATCTTTCTTCTATCAGTCGCGACAAAGAGAATACCCAATGAGATAATTCACATAATTGATATCAAACGTCACATTATTGTGCACTACAACCTCAATTATGCTTCGTCCAACCCCATGACAGAGTTGTGAGCGAGTCAGGCGGATGAGAGATACTCGCCTTAAGGAGCGCATAAATGTCAGTCCGGCCTATGTGGATTATCAACCACCCAGAAAATTGAGCCCGCTCATTTCAGTAGCAGTACCGGGACTTATATTGAATGTACAAAAGTACGTTGGCTGATCATTGGCTACGGCTGCTCTAGTGCTATTTGCCATGCTCCCCTCCCCCAGGATTTGAAAAAGGAGGACATGAGGTTTATTTTCGTACTTGCAGGGCCAGCCAACAATAGTCAGAGTTTTCTATAGTTGTGCAATTAGAATTATGTTTTTTCTAAATGAGTCTCTTCTTTACTCCACTACACCCCCCTCCGTCACTGTTTTCCCCTGGAGACTGAGGCAGAAAGTAAATTGATTGTAGCTGGCAGTGAGCATGACTGGAATGAGTGATCTCGGCTTTCCGATGTGTCTGTCTCGCATCACCCCCGCCCACCCCCCCCCCCCCATCTCTCTTTCTTCCTGTCTCTTTATGCAAAGAGGATTCATTGACCCACACATTTGTTTGCCACCTATAAGATCGAGCTGTATTTTCTACGTTTTTGCTGAAAACGAAGCAGTTATGTCTGTTACTTTATGTGACCTTGATGAGTTGTGTACAGTTTTCAGTGATTGTTTGTTTGAGGGGGTGGGGCTGTTGATATAGGATGTAGGGAGAAGGTCACATTGGATCTGTTACAGAAATCAATTTCAGTGTAGAGGTGAGCAGTTTGGTGACCCAATCAAGCTCTTGCAGCTCCTGACCTGAAACATTACACTTGCTGTGAGACATGGCACCTTTTTGTCTTTCGTGGCACAAAACAAATGTTGGCTCCTCTTTATTGGGGGAAATATAAATTATCCAGATATCCCTGTCGATTTGGGGCCTTAGGATTTGGTCATCGTATTTCAAACCAAATGTCTTACTTGTAGAAAGATGAATTGATGCGTCAAGTGTCTCAGCAAAGCAAATGTAGCACATGTACTGCAGAGTTTTGTTTAGTTTTTTGTTTCCCGGAGGGTACAAGAGCATAAAAATCAAGTTTTTCCTCATCAGTGCTTTCCACCTCTGTTTAGAAAGGTTCTGTAGAATTTCTAATCATTCATCAAGCTGTAGTTTCCATGAAACTGTCTTAGCATAAATCACAATATAAGGCTGTATGCCACCTGGACACCCAGTAACAGTAGTGTCATGTGGAAGAGGTCCTATGTGGCTGATACTGTAGCAGAATCTTCAATACTGTCATGTTTACCAGTGTCAGTGAGCTGTGCTTTGTTCAAACGGTTACATGTTGCATGCAAGGAGGAGACAGAAGGATGTTAGGTCAGAGTACTGCTGCGCACTGACCCATCACACCCCAAAAACGTCTTATTCACGGCAGATACTGGAACTCCAACCCTCCTCTTGTATTTCCATATCTCTTTGTTTCGTCTGTCCCTCCTCACTGCGTCTGTGGGTGTCAGTGGAGGGTTCAGGGGTTTTATTCTTTTGTTACAGGTACTCTCTAGACTGATGTGCATTTATACCTCAATTTTCACAGGTCATGTCAGGCTTGGGTCATATGTAGAATACTAAGTATTAATGTAATATTTTTATTGTTCATACTACATCATGCCACTCTGACAACACCTTATCGGTTATGATACTGGAAATGGCTGGTTTAAGATTAGGCAGGCAGGTTTTTTTTTTTTTTTTTATAGCAAGGTTTATATGTGATTTTTAGATGCAAAATGCTCCAATCAGATCAGACAATGTGATGATGCATGTAAATATTTTCAAGGTCATGTTTTTCTTTTTGTTCGTTTGTATTGGCATGAACTTTATCTCATACTGTGTAGTTTCTTTACAGCCAAATGCATTCAAAAATGTTTTTCAAGTTCATGTTGTGAATCATGACTGACCGTTGGCAGTATGACTGGCTGCTGTGCCTTAAACCTACGACTGAGGGATAATGTCCCTTTTTTATATAAAAACTTCTCAATAGTTTGTGCAATATATGCCTTAAACTTTAAATGTGTGTTTTGTATAAGCATTTCAAAGAAATAAAAGTTCAGTTTTTCATAAATGCTATTTCTTACGTCTTTTGTTGCCTATAAAAGAGCTCCTTTTGTGACAATAACCAAATTGCATCATCAATGGATGCTAAAGGCTTTGAAAACATATTTTCTCAATAACCCTTTTCACAGAATAAATTTTGTTCTCATGATGGGGTCCTCGTTTTGTTCATGCCGGCTCTTCGTCAGTGGGACACTGAAGTTATTCAAGGCAAAATGTCTGCTGTGAAAAAGGCTCATGGTGTTCAACATTTGCAACACACTTATCTTCCAAAGTACAGTTTTTATTTTTTAACAGGAAAGACGGTGTGTTTTGTCTGAGCTCTTCTCCAGGATCTATTGGGGAATCCAAGTCTGATGACAGTTGGGTTATTTCAGTCAGTAAAATGGGATCAAACCCACACATTGTTGACAAAGGAAATGGGAATTGTGAAACTCTCAATAAAGATGATTTTCCAAACATGTTTTTTTTTTTTTAATTGTGTATATTTAATATATCAAATGCCTCTGATTTTAACACTTTTCAGGTGCTTTAAAGCTGGAAGTGTACTTAAAATAGAAAATAAGAGTAGAAAATTCCAATGTTTTTCAGCAAAAACAATATTTTCAAAGCCATTTGCCATATCAAAATAACAAATATACACTGGACAGAACGTTTAACTGACTTAAAGGACTGTACTAATGTTACTGCATGTTTAAGCAAATGTACTACAAACTGAGTTCACATTACTTTCAAACATTTCGTTTTTATTTATTTTTTGATAAATTTTTGTCTGTAAGATAAGTTTTGTCTGAAGTATATCGGCAGTAGTGAAGATTTAGTTATGTTAACATAATTGAAAGCAAAAACAACACCCAGATTAGTGAATTCATGCTGTGACTGCATTCAGAGCTGGGGCTGGTGTAAAGTATACTGCAGGACAAAGAGCTAATACATCCAAAAACACTGATGATAACTGAAGCATGTGAAGTAAGTAGGAGACACTTGTTTGAAATAAACGGTACAACTATTTAAACAGATCAACATCTACACTCTTTGCTTTCAACGACATGAATGAACTTACTTTATTTGCCTGAGCAATTTCAAGCCTGGATTCCTTCAACGGTAAAGACAAACCTGATCCTTCAACAAATACACACAACCAGCTGATACAGGCTTATACTAAAAGCACTAGAATCTATTTCATCAAGTGGAAGGACTCTTCACTTTTAATAAACACAATCAGAATGACTTTTTTAAAATCCATTTCCAACATACAGGGATACAAATATTACAGATAAGGAGACTCATTGCAGTGCTTGTGCAGGTGTAATGGCTAATTGGCAGGAAGAGGTAAACATTGCTGGTACTGTATGAAGGACTGAATGTGGCAGTCCAAAAAATAATAATGAACCCCACGCACACACATACTGTACATGATGTTTGATGCATCTCAAAAGTCCAACCAGGTTCTCTGCAACGATCTACAAAAGATCAGAACAACCACAGTCAAAATGGCTGAGGCCGCAGCAGAAGTGTAGCTATGAGATGCAAATACACCTCTCATCGTGGTGACCTTTATTGATGACACAAGTTAAAAAGTATTGCAAAATATTTCTGTGGATCCCGAAATAATCCCAAGCTCCTACCTTTGAGAAACATGCGTAGATCTAAATAAACGTAAGACAACCACCACGTCTGCTCTTTTATAAAACTTTGATATATATTCTTTTCATTCAATTTCTCTCAAACCCACAAGGCCCATAAAGGTAGGAACAAGGGATTGATTTTTGGTGCCATGTGCGTGGGGGCCCAGGGCGGTCGGTTCCTCCCTCTACTCGTCATCCTTATCTTTGGCGCCGTGTTTGAGGATGCGAGTGAACTCTGCGTAGTTGAAGTTGCCCTTCTTGTCAATGGGCGCCTCACGGAACAGCTCGTCCACCTCTTCGTCTGTGAAGCGATCGCCCATGGTGGTCAGCAGCTCCCTCAGATGGTCCTCGTGAATCACACCTTGGGGACAGAGAACATCCATGAAAGGGAAGAAAACACTCACTGTAAGTGCCATGATCTGTGTATACAGTATGAATATTTTATTTATACGGACTCACCAGATCCCTCCTCATCAAAACAGGCAAAGGCGTTGCGGATGACGTCCTCGGGGTCCGTTCCGTTGAGCCTCTCTCCAAACATGGTGAGGAACATGGTGAAGTTTATGGGCCCTGGTGCTTCGGCCATCATCCCCTCCAGGTATTCATCAGAGGGATTCTTACCTGAGGAGGAACAACGCTGTTACATGTATCAACTCATATACAATACCATCAACTGTTTCTTTATGCTTTTACACTATTTTTACACTATACCCTGGTGCTAAACATATTTGGTTGTAAAGAACTAATTAAGGATTTATCACAGGTTGCAATCCAGCTGTTTTGAAGGAACCTTTCAGGTGTTCACATATATTCAGTTGTTTTTTGAGTTTCATTTACAAGTAAAAGGGAAGTTAGGTGTACTCCAGTGATTTACCATTGCACCTCCACAAAGTTAGTAAGTAAGTAAATTAGGAGAGCCAGGTAAAAAAGTGTTTTAAATGAAAAATAATAATTATCCAAATTAATAGCTCCAATAACACTGGAATATGCACATTTCCCATAATGCAGTTCTATAGCATCTTTCTTTTGACCCCACATCCCTGATAAAGGGCT